TACTCATCTAGTTGAGCCACTTGTTACTGTATATGTAATTAATAAACTTACGATCGCTTCCACAGTGTGAAACGCAGGTACATACATCATGGGAACATCTCACTTCAAATCCATTAGTACATGATGTTATACTGCAATCATTGTCCTGTTTACATCTCTCGCACAACACAACGGCTGAAATATATATATATATATCTGATTCTTGTACATTCCTTCCTCAAAATCATCCTTCCCGGATCGATCTGATGTCAAATATTTTCGAATTTGAGACAATATATGGTCTACAATATTCTGAAGAATGTATAAAATATAAAATTTTAAGATAACCGTGTAAAAAAAAATAGTTAGCTAAAGCTAATAACGCAATCACAGAGCAACAGAGCAAAAAAATGTCATAAAATTCAATACAATATTTTCTTCCTAATTTTGCTCTGGCATTAGAGCATTCTCCTCAAATATTCCCAAGAAGTTTCGTAATATGTCGGCTCATAAAACTATCTTCAATAGCCAACTATAACCATCTTCTTCATATCCCAGTGATTTGAAAAAAAGAGTTTTTCTTACCAACAAGAAGAGCTAATATGATGACGACTTTCATTTTGTTAGAGATAAGATTGTTCTGGTTTCCAAAAACTGGACGACCGTATTTTTATATCTTTGATGGCCACAAGGTCATAAAATCAAAACCAGCTGGAATCTCTCAAGAAAGATAATTCATAAATTTGATTAAGACTGACATTTTCGCTTATACCTGTCCTTTCCTTATGTTTAATCTAAGCTTATCTTCAATTTACCGGGGATACTTAAAACCGATAGTTCTGATCAAAGGTATGGTTGCCGGTCAATAAGCCAGGGAATAGTTATCATTGTGAAAAATGATGTAAAAAATAGCCATCGTAATACGCCCACAATTGGAATGGCAGCTAAGTCGTCCGGGAGGTTGACAAGAGTTTATCAATAAATTAAATAATTCGAAAACAATATTTTCATACTGCAAGGGCTTTATCCACAGCCTTTTTCTCTGAGGTGTTTAGAAGCTAAAGATTGAACACGTTTTTTAAAAAACAATAATAGCTATCTTTAGATTTTTTATTTTTAAATATGGTTCGTTAAAATCTGTTGAGAATTGTGCCTTGAACGAGATATCAAGGTAAAGGGCAATAACTCACATTAAATACTTTTTAGATTTTTTTTTTAGAAATATTAAAAAATTGCACCAAGTTTTGTCAAAATCCGTCAGGAATTGTGCCTTCTAGACATGTCACAAGCTAACATTTGAAAGCGTTTTTAAGAACAAGGGCAATTACTCAATATATTTTTTATTTGTCTGATTTTGAATAGGATTCATCATTTAGTGACAACAAACATTCACATCAAATTTTATCAAAATTTATCAATAAACCAACTCTCTATCGCGTCCACAAAACATTTTCACGAACAAGGGAAGTCACTCATTAAATATTTTTCGATTTGTCTGATTTTCAATAGGATTCTTCCTTAGGTGTTACAATCACTCGCACTAAATGTTATGAAAATCCATCAAGAAACCAACTCTTATCGTGCCCCAAAACAATTGTGGATAGATAGACAGACATTCATTTTGGGCGTATAAAAATGAATGACTGAAGAAGGCTAGGCCAGATATACATACATATGGTTGTTAAATACATTGTGCAAAGTCGTCCAAAACTATTGCACCTTCTACCGTGGTAGACTTTTGCAAGTAAATGACGATATAATGGTTAAGTCAATAACTTGTACTTCACTCCTTAAATCGACATGTTTTTTTGTTGTTTTTTTTTTTGCTCTAATCTTATCAAACCGACACCGACACTAATGTACACAGTCTATAACAGTCGGGATCACTTATGTGAAATAATTTACACCATATTCACGATCTGCCGATAATTTGAACAAAACTTTTAGCAGTAAACATGAAATCAACTGAAATAGTGAAATACTTAGCTATCTATCGACACACCTTTTGATTTTGACGAGTTATGCCCTTGACCTAATTAAAACGTGTCAATATATGTCTGCGAACACAATATAAAACTACAGCTTCATCACAGAAAATTGTTCACAGTTTTATGGGTTTTTTTTCTTATTTCAATGAAATTTGTTTTGATCGAAGATGTTGATAAGATCTTGCATGATTTCGATTTTGACGATTGTTTGAAAAGCGGTTCCCGAGTCCTTGTTATTGGCAAATTAATATATCGCATCTGTGATGCATTTACCGTTCCTTTTTTGGAGGATCGGTCTTGACTGTCTTCAACTCAGATTATTTTGATTTTGGGGTCTGAACTCCACTTCAACCTAGATTGTTTAGGTTTTACATTGGTTTTGGGGTCTCGACGCGGTTTCAACCTAGATTGTTTAGGTTTTGGGGTCTCCACAATGTCTTCAATCACGATTGATTTGGTTTTGGGGTCTCGACTCTGACTTCAACCTAGATTGCTTTGGTTTTGGGGTCTCGACGCGGTTTCAATTTAGAATGTTTTGGTTTTGGGGTCTCTCAAACTAGATTATTTTCGTTTTGGGGTCTCTTTCTTCAGCCTAGATTGCCTTTGGTTTCGATTTTGAGTACCTTGAGCAGTTGAAGCTGTTGCATTGCATGAATATTTCTGTGCCATGGCCTCTGTAATGTAAATTGTTATTGAGCCTGATTTTGGTTTCTGGCGTATCTTCATAATAGGCACGTCAGATAAAACGTCTAGAATCGGATCACAGACATCGAGTCTGTCATTGGTCAGCTAAACTAAAGATAGGAGAGAGACCTTTCGCTAAGTATTTAAACACTTCTCGAAAATCGAAGTACTGTGTGCGTGCGAAACTTTCAATAGCTCTCCAAATCATGTTAATTTTTGGGAGAACTCGCCATTGTGCGGCCATAAATTTCTTTAGAACAGACACACAAGCAGCATTTACTGAAGCGGGGTTAACAGCAGTTCCTGTTTTCAGTTGTGCGATATCCAACTTAATAATGCTCTCTGAACCAGTAATAGTATTTAAACAGTACATTAGCAATTATTTATCGAATACTTTGTTAAATTTATTTCAAGAATTTCTTTCGATAGTATCATAGTAGGGGCTATCATACAATGAGCTTCTGATGGTCGCCGAAAACTGGCGATACATATGAATTCTCTCTCGAGAAACCCTATTATCATTGGAAGCATAATTGGTAACGACATTGGCTAGTTTCGATATACTAGTAAGAATATCACTCATCCAAAGCTGTCCCTTTAAACATCGTCAAATATCCAACAGATTATTCACGAACAAGCAATTCAATATATAAACTGAAATAAAAAATGTGCAAGGATTATTTATAAGGAATAAACTCACAATGGTTCTAAATTTTTGCTCGAGATATTTACGACCATTTCAGTATCTTATCATTAATTTGTTGACCAGATTTGAAAGAATGAGTGTTGCCGTTAGTCCATGACTTCAGCGAGTTTCTGCGACTTTCTAATAGTGCTTCCTTTATTTGAAGCCTCTTTAAATTAGTTTCGACTTTCTTCAGTTGATCTTCATTTCTTTATATTTCATTGCACCAACATTTCTATCTCGTCCAGATCAAAGTGACAAGCGCTAACCTGAACTAACCATTAGGCACAGAAAACTGAAACGTATTACCAGTATAAAGGGTTAACATGACAAGTGCTAACCTGATCTAAATGTTTGTTTGAGATATTCCACGATCATTTCAGTAACTATGAGATAGTCGCTTGTATGTGACTTATATCCATATATCATTTATTTGGAGACCAGTTTTCGAAAGAATGAGTTTTGCCGTTAGGTCCATGATTTCAGCGAGTTTCTGTGACTTTCTGATAGGGCTTTCATTTATTCGGATCCTCTTTAAGTTAGCTTCAACTTTCTGCAGTTGATCTTAATTTTTTTTATATTTCGGCCAACATTTCTTTCCTGTCCGTATCAAAATGACATGTGCTAACCTGAACTAACCATTAGACGCAGAAAACTGAAAACTTATCAGCGGTATTAAGGGTAATGCATATCTGAACTAACCATTAGGCGCAGAAAACTGAAAACATTTCACCAGTATTAAGGGTTAACATGGCAGGTGCTAACCTGAAATAATCATCAGGCGTAGAAAAATAGGTCGTAATATTCTATTTTATTAGCCTAATTTGAGAGTTTTTGAGTGTATTGTTCGGCTAAGTCTAGCATCTAATTCTTATGAATAAAAACTACAAGAGTTTGTTTCACAATGTTTGCATTTCTTCGTATTACGTGTTTCAATTAATGTGTTAACATAAATTATGAAAAATAATCAGTATGCTTTCGCAAAATAATATAAACAAAAATCGATACATTCAGAATCTTGCTATGACCAAATCCTTAAATCTTTAATACGTCAATTGATAAAATATATTTCCTTTCATGTGAACCAAGACAACAAAGTTGTTGATTAAAGCAAGTCATGCGTTGAAATTTGTTGTCGTTTCAGATAAAAATATATATTTCTCATACTTAATAAAACTTTAAATGCGAAGATTGAATGTTACTCTCTTATCTGTACAGAAACAAAAGGGAAAAAAATATAAATTCATTTGATATGACATAATGATATGATATGATAAAATATTTCCCATTGAAATAATGAGAAAAATTAAACTGATTTTTTTGTAATATATATCCTGCCCCAGGGCCAAATTTTGTAAACAATATAATCTACCCATGTTCTCACACCGTTAATTAATATTACGATCAATTGAATTATCAAAAAATACACGTATAGCCCTGATGCTCGGGGCTAATAAAGGGTTTATCTGATTGTAGGAAATATAAAAGACTTGTTGCTTATTTGTATCTAAACACATTTTGAATGAATTGCCATTGAAGACGCAAATAAAAATTAAGAATGTTTCAGCTGTCCAGTTAAGATTTTTTTTCGCTTTTCTTCTTATTTTGTGAACTTTTGACATATTCAGTGTAGTCAAATAATTCACTATGACGACTAAAGAGGTAAGATAATTTTTATTAAAATTGTTGTGGTACAGGGAATTAATTGTCTCTCACTCCTCAATAAACGAGGTCTGGTAAAGATTATCGACACAACAGAAAAAAAAGTACAGTGGTACGGACATGACGCGAACACTTAACCCGTTTTGTTGTATCAGAATTCCCGTCCGAATACCGTGTACCGTGTCCATTTGAACACTAAGTTTAAATACAAGAGCAACTTGACCAAAGAGACGAACAACAAGTGCATTCAATGGATTTACATGTACATCATCTTGTCATCTTACAGTTTGTACGAACAGATAAAGTTAATTTCTATAATTAGTGGCAGTATTTTGTAGGAGAGCCAAGTCAAAATATTTGGTTTATTGTTGTTTCAGATCAACACAGTCAGTATGTGGAAAATTATTACAGTGTTCGGACTTTGGACTGTGACGTCATTCCTGTGCCATTTTTCCGGAAAACTTTTTTTGAAGTCTGAAACTGAGAATGAATCAACATATAATTTTATCAAAGCCTTTATTCTTACTCTATACCAAACCTTTATGTGTTATTCTCTCACAGAAGTTAAGTTTCACATTGATAAAGTGTATATATGTATTTCTGTATGCCATTTTTTGGCAACTTTATCAACAAACTGCAGTATGGCCCTTATGTTTGCGTCATCTACATTCGCTATCAAATTAATGGAACCCATTACCAGTGCCTGTGTACAAAGACTCTTACTAGCAACTCCGTTACATCCATCGATATTTGTTAGTCTTCCATTAATAGTAGGTGGAGCATGTATGTTTACTGGAAACCCACTGACCGATACATCATTATCTAAAGGCACGCTAATGGCTTTTCTGTCCAACGTTATCCTGGCAGTCAGAAACGCAGCCATCAAAAAAGACCAACACAATTCGTCCAGATTGAATTTACGTCCTTCTTTAACTATAGCAATTGTGATCATTTGTCACCTGGTTTTTACACTAGTTCTTCATCTTATTGAAACTCGCAATGGTGCTGAAAACATTTTGACACGCGCCGTCTTTTTTACAGTATTGTCAAGTGTTTTTCATGTGGTGTATTCTTACATTTCAACAAATATCGTATTGAGGTACATGTCGGTGTTAAGTCATTCCGTGTGCAACATTATGAAAAGAGTATTAGTGGTTATATTATTGTATATAGTCGGTAGTAGATATGCCTCGTTTTCTAATTTTCTGGGCTTGATGGTTAGCACTGTTGGATTGTTTATTTATGTTGGTTTCAAAGTATCCATAAAGAATTCCAGTAATAGAGATGTCACACCTAAAGAACAAGGTAAGGATTATTGGGTTCGTTGCCCTATTTTAGACAATCATTATTAATTGAATACAGATATACATTTTGATATAAAAATAATAAGTCGATAAATGGTTAGGGGCTATGAGATGCGTTGACTGATATATTTTTTTGTTTCTTAATTTTACAGGAAAACCAGACAGAACGATCATCAAGATAGCTGCCTTCCTCATTTTATTTGTTTGTCTGAGTATAATTGGAATGTATAGCAACACCAGTATAAAATTGGGATATAGAGATAATAATTTTGCAAAGTTGGCCTTGGAAGACTATGAATCTCGTTCATTTGGCGGGAAATCATTAGAAATAATGGACACCTCAGATCTGGAACCAGAAGTCGATGTCGGCCATTTTGAAAATGGACCACGTCTAAAGAGATTTCTCAGAAAAAAGCTGATACAGACACCTTACGATACTGATATTCTGTCCCCGCATCTTAAAACAAGCACAGAAGTTATCAGAGAGGCTCAAAGAGTACATTTTAACCTCTTCAAAGATTTGCTACGTGGTTTCCGGTACGCCATGTTGTTTGATGTTGCTGCATTCGAAAATAAAGGAGATCCAGCCATTTCTTCTGGTGAAATTTATCTGTTACGAAGACTGGGTATTGATCTCATTTACTACTGCAGTTTTAGCTATTGCAAAGATGAAAATCTTCAATATGCTAAGAACATGAGTTCAATCTATTCCAATAAAGAACTCGTTATTCTTGTTCACGGCGGTGGAAACATCGTTGGATATGCACTGAACGATGTCCTCAGGTTTAAAATTTTGAATATATTTAAAGGATTGAAAATTGTGGTTTTGTCACAAAGTATATACATGAAAAATTACAACGGACATTTTGAGCGTTGCAAACAGTTTTATTGTTGCAACAAGAATTTAACATTAGTTTTAAGAGACCGACAATCACTTTCCATGGCTCAAACGTATTTCAACAATGGAACAAATCTAATTATGGCACCGGATATGGCATTTCAGATTGGAAGAGTCAAACGATATATGAGTCCCATGTATGATATATTATGGCTTAAACGAAAGGACAGTGAAACACCAAACTATAAAATACCCGTGATACCTGAAGGGGTATCTGCTAAAGTTAAAGACTGGTGGGGTTTCCCAACGCCTAAGGGGGATAACTCTTTGGAAAATGCCTTTCTAATAGCAACTAATGGTATGATGTTCTTACAGAGAGGTAGAGTTGTGATAACAGATAGACTTCATGGTCATATTTTATGCACTCTATTGGACATACCTCACGTATTAATAGATAATAAATACAAGAAGTTGTCCAGCTATCACAGAACTTGGACTCGAGGGGTAGAGAACACTTTAATTACCACAAACGCCACCGAGGCAGTGTCTTTAGCCTTACAGCTTTTGAAAAAATATAATGACGTCATTCCACCTATTGCGCCATTTATGAATGTAGTGGAGCATCCATTTGAAAATTCTCGTGGTAAAAGGATAACTCCTGTGGTACCATTAGTTTTTAACAAATCACAGGGAAAAAAGTAGTTCCTGCATCGATAGACTTCAGTGTGCATTATACGTTAATTACTCACGTTACAAATATTTCATCAATATTATCGTTTCCTTTTAGTGGATAAATGTACTGTGATAATGTGCTTGTGTATGGTAACATTATTTTAAACGTTTTCCAATGATATGTGATATTATAGTAGCCTCATCCATTTTTGTTTGTGTGATTTATTGTGTATATCAAAGCTCATGGGATCAAATGTCAAGTTTGTAAATTATACCTACGTCAAAGTGACTAGTCAAGAAGCTAGTTTTCATAGTGCAAAGAGGGATTGATTTTTTATCTTTCAAAACGCTTTCATAACTACTCTCGCAAGCTGTTTCGATGAAGATATCTGTTATGTGAATCCATTTTCATTTTTTTGATTTGTTCAATAAATTTTTTAAAAATCAGTTAATCATTTAAACAGAACCTGAAACATGTTATCGAAGATTGTCTTCAGACAACTGACATATTCCAGCCAGTTCAGACCCGATATCTGAATAACGACATGCCTCAGATTCTGTTCGAATATTTATATGTCTCTCTACAATTGTTGTAATGAACACTATTTTAACAGTGAACATATCTTGTTACTGTACAAGGTTATAATGCATTGATTAGGATCTCCATTTTTTTATTTATAGATCATCAATTTATTAGAACAATAACTTCCCCTCTTACAAACTCCCATCAATTAAACCTACAAGGAATGACAGCCATGTTGATGGTTATAAGCTAAGGTTGTTCAATTTTATTACATAATAATTGGATCAGCACCCCGTTGACAATTAATAGGGAGAAGTTCACTATCCATTTGACCAATCGTACCATGGTCTCAAAAACGTCAATTGAAAGATAATCCGTAATTGTGTTCACTGCTCACCGTCGAAATTTAGGCCTTCAAATGTGTGTCCAGAATAATTATCCTCATTTGAAAGTTAAAATGGCGACTTGTAATTTCTTGAGACTTTGCCGTATATAGAAATAGAACGTAAAATTCTTAGTATGAGGTATTTGTAAAGAAATTATGCGCTTTTCGTACAATCATCCCAACAACCGAAAAACGCAGATCTGTCCCTTTAACACTGTAGATTTGTGTTTAAATCATATAAGAGAACCGTACATACTATGTGCAAATCTTATTTAGGATTATTTCATTTAAGAATATTTTGAACAGCATCAGCATGAATTCCAATCCTTGAATGGCTTGAAAGGATATTATGGGTCTCTATTGTAATCGTACAAAAATTTCACCACAGTCTCGTTCTTGGGGGAGGGGACAGCTGATTGACCGCATTATTATAAGTAAGCTTACTAAAATTATGTGCATGGATAAAAATTAAACTTGTAGTTATACAAATTTGTTTGAAAATATTCGTTTGTTGTCCTTTCCAAATTTGTGTACAGTCTTTGGCGCACATTAAGCATGGATTATTAGGTCTTTTCTGAACAAATTCGGACAGTTCAGAGAGTTCTGACCCTTACACCCGCCGAATCAAAATCCATTAAGACGCTACCAGATATTCTACAATGTCCCTGTGCCGCAAGTGGTATTGCAGAATTGCTACTGTGGGTGAAGTCTGTATAGGAAATCTATAACATGGTAAAGGTAAAACTTTAATATAGGCAATTACAGAATAAGAAAAAGGTTATATAAATAAACCTGTCGTATGTTGAGTATGAACTGTGTATAGACTATTAACTGTGGTCTCAAATGTACTTAAAAATGACTTTTTGTAGTACATAGAAAAAACTTTTTCTCACGTGGAATCTATTCCTATATGGTATAGCTCACTTTTAGCTCTCAGAGATGCTTATTTTGGTTGAATTTCTATACAAATCTTGAACTTTAATGAGCTATGAAAAACATTCCGAGAATCTGTGAGGTGCAGTTTATTATGTTATTACGTCATAAATCAGTTTAAAAAAACTGTTCGCCAAAGGTGAAAGAAATGCACTCAACGTTCAAAAGTGCTAAACTTGTAAAGGGAGATAATTAAAATACGTTCATTTAACACACAGTTAAGTTTGCAGTTGCAAATATAAAATATTATGACTGTTAGTTATACTAAGACACAATTTAATACATGTATTTCACATTTAACAAAATCATCTTAATACATCAAACATACACCAATCCTCGTCAGTTTTCAATTCGAGCAGTTCATACGACCAAAGAAATCAGTGAATGAAAAAATCAGTAGATTGACATGAGAGCCCCTTTTCTCATATAAATAATGTTCTGAACCAACCCTGAAGGGAATGGCAATAAATTAAGTATCATGAAATGTCCATAACAATTTAACTCGTTAATCTTAGATATACATATGGTCATATGTCTTGCATAAACTAACCATCAGAATACTATAAAGTACAAATTATTTTGTTATATTTCTATTGCAGCCTCCTGTTCTACTGGACAAAATTGCCTAGGAGTTATACACTGTCTGTGGCAGTAGTAAATGAATTATTTTTCAATAAATGTGCAACAACTCTATAGTGATGTATATTGCCTTCATCTTTATGTACATAAATTAAGAATTGGCCATCAAACTTGTTGCCTATTAATGATATTAAAACCAGTAAAAACTATTACACGAATTGTTTTTTTTTCAGGACGAAGCCTTATCTATGCCTAATATATTTCAATAACCATATAAGTTGCAACCGTCCTTACCCTCGGATAATTATTAATTTTTAAAAATGAAATAGTCACGTGCATTCATAACAAACCATAGCACGCATTTCGTAAAATGGCCTCCGTAAAAATTTCGCTTGCGCTCTGTTACATATCACGGTAATGAATGGCCATTTTTTTACCGGAACTATATCAATATTGTCACGTGATCACGTGATTGTGGTAAATTTAATATTAGAGGCTGATCGTTCAGGACTACGGATGTTTGTAAACAAAGTAAATGAAAACATAAACTTCGTAAGATACGAATCCAAAATGATAAAGAAATGAAAATTGGATAACTATACAGCATTAAACGCAAATGTAATTATCTCCCAAAGTCTCTCTATTTAAGGACTATATTTAGGTTGCAATATTACTTGACAAATCATTGCTAAATACCGGAGATAAAGGGTCTCCGCGGAATTCCCTATTCGTTACCGAGTCAGACTCTTACGGATACTGCCGAGGATTCTCATTCTGTACTAACCGTTGTAGGTTTACTGACTGACACGGACGATATTGACTCTGTATTTGTTGTACATGTAACTGGATAAACAAGACTTCAAACAAGGGGGATCAACTCCCGTAAGAATGGCTCTACACTGCAGTAGTTGTACAAAGAAGGGAAAACCTATCCCTAGAATGTATTGTGGTACCAGATGAGGCATAAAGTAGACGTTTGTGGTAGATAATAAACAGCGTCAAAAATTCCAAACTGTAAAATAAATATAGTAGACTTTTCATTAGTATTGGCAGCCTGTCTATATCCTGAAAAGTTCAGATCTATCCGACACAGAGGTCGAAATTTCTTTCAACAAAATATTTCAAAATCTCTTTTAAACAAAATATTTCAAATTTCTTGTAGCAAATATTTTTTTTTTCAATTTGATAGTATAAACCTTATAATAAATATGATGAATGAGCCACCGTAGATCGGTCAATAAATAAGCTATACAATATTCGATACTGATTATTAAGGAATACTTCCATCTTGCACAAAATTTCTTCTGTCCAATAACTTGTAACCTCAAGTGTAGACAAAATTCTATACCGTTTTTCCCATAGACAAGAAATAAAATAGAAGAAAAAATTATCAGTACTTAAACAGATTGTGAAATGTATTTGAAATGTGAGTAATTAACGTAATCCACACTAAAGTTTGTGTAATTTTATCCAAATACAAGAATCTTTGTGATTTTTTAAAAACTACTGGTACTACAGGAATTATCCTTTATCGTGGATTTTCAATCACATTCATAAATGGCGTCACAGGTGGAATGACATCATTATATTTTTTCAAAAGCTGTAAGGCTAAAGATACTGCCTCGGTGGCGTTTGTGGTAATTAAAGTGTTCTCTACCCCTCGAGTCCAAGTCCTGTGATAGCTGGACAACTTCTTGTATTTATTATCTATTAATACGTGAGGTATGTCTAATAGAGTGCATAAAATATGACCATGAAGTCTATCTGTTATCACAACTCTACCTCTCTGTAAGAACATCATACCATTAGTTGCTGTTAGAAAGGCATTTTCCAGAGAGTTATTTCCCTTAGGCGTTGGAAAACCCCACCAGTCTTTGACTTTAACAGAAATCTCCAGTATCCTGGGTATTTTATAGTTTGGCGTTTTTTTATGTCCTTTCGCTTAAGCCATAATATATCATACATGGGACTCGTATATCGTTTGACTCTTCCAATCTGAAATGCCATATCCGGTGTCATAATTAGATCTGTGCCGTTGTTGAAGAACGTTTGAGCCATAGCAAGTGATTGTCCGTCTCTTAAAACAAATGTTAAATTCTTATGGCAACAATATGGCTTTTTGCAATGCTCAAAATGTGTATTTTGATGTATCAGGAGTATACTTTGTGTCATAACCACTATTTTAAAACCTTTAAAAAGATCCAAAATTTTAAACTTTAGAATATCACTAACAGGATATCCAACCATGTTTCCGCCGCCGTGAACCAGAATAACGAGTTCTTTATTGGAATAGATTGAACTCGTGTTCTTAGCATATTGAAGGTTTTCATCTTTGCAAAATCTGTAATCTGTAGTAGTAATTGAGATCAATACCCAGTCTTCGTAAAAGATAAATTTCACCCGAAGAAATGGCTGGGTCGCCTTTGTTTTCTAATGCAGCAACATCAAGCAACATGGCGTACCTGAAACCACGTAACAAATCTTTGAAGAGATTGAAATGTACTCTTTTAGCCTCTCGGATAACTTCTGTGCTGGTTTTAAGATGCGAAGACAGGATATCAGTATCGTAAGGTGTCCGTATCAGCTTTTTTCTGAGAAATCGTTTTAGAC